TATCACCATTAATGCACAAAAGTCTGTACATACTACCTTCGCCACTAGAAGAGGAGATTGCCCAAGCGTTGCATTGGGGCCCACTATTCCCAAAGCCTCAAAAGTAAAGTACCTTGGTATCACTCTTGACAGAAGGCTGACTTTTAAAGCGCACATAAGTCAAGTAACCTCAAAATGCAAAAGCAAGCTAAAAACCCTCGACTGGATGCTGAGAGCTTCAAGCAAGTTGTCTTACAGCAGCAAGGCCGCCATCTACAAGGCAATAGTTGTCCCAACCTTCGTATATGGTATCTCTCTATGGGGCTCCTCGGCGAAGACTACAAGGAACAAAATTCAGACCCTGCAGAATAAAGCACTACGCAGATGGACTGGAGCCAGCTGGTTTGTAAGAAACTCAGTCTTACATAGGGATTTAGCAATTCCCACAGTTGCTGAACTCATTGGGCGACACAGTTCAAGATACGCGGACAGACTTGCAGCGCATCCTAACCATCTCGCAAGCAACCTGGCTATAAACAACAATAGGCGAAGACTGAAGAGATTGCATCCTCTAGACAATATTAGAACTAATTAAGATAGTAGCTACAAGTGCAGAATAATTGGCATATCTGCCCTCCCATTAGTTAAGGTTTAGAGCTAAATGCGCTATAGAGTCTAAGACAATAAGCTGCAACAAAATAAAGAAATAAAAACGAAAAAAACTTAAGAAAAAAAAAAAAAAAAAAAAAAAAAAACATTTATTCCAAATTTTCATGTTTTTTTATTTAGGCTTTATTGTGGTTCTTCTATATTTGCTTTAGCTAGTTTCCTTTTCTATGGTCTGTACTCTGCTCTGAAAATGATAACTTGCACTCCATCTCTTGCTATTCCTGCTCAGATCCTCACCTTGTTTTTTTCCTATATATTCAATTGCCTAATTTAATTCTAAAAAAAAAAACAACCTTATTTTACACACATTTTGTTTTTAATTTTTTCTAATGCTAAAATCCTTCACGCTAAATCATAAAACTTAAGTTAAATAAGCGAATTCTTTTCTTTTTATAAATAATAAAAACTGTTTCTAGTTTTTCATTTATATATTTTTTGTTTTTGGTTTTCCTTTTGGTGTTTGCCTTAAAATGTCTGGAGGTTGATTTCTATTTTATAGATACAGGGTGTTTTTTGTTGCTATTTTCTATCTTTTTTGTGGTATATCTAGATACAATAGAATATATATATGTAATATAATATACATTAAATGACTGTTTACATTTATTGATAATTTTTTTTATTTAGTTTTTTAATTTTGTTTATATTTGTTTGATCCGTTTATGCTTTGCGTACAAAATTTATAATTTGCTGTGTCGAAGGGCTGAAGGTGTTTCTTTGAGTGTATTTACAACAGAGTCTGAGGCACGCTACAGTGCAACCTGGCCCAGTGTTGATATGGTTAACTATTTACTCTCGCTTTACTTCTTCGTTTGTTGGTTGGTTTTGCAGAACTAGAAATTGAAAAGTGCTGGAGGTTCTTAACGTCTGGCCTGTAATGAGTGCTTAAAGTGCTTGGAGTGAGTGTTTGTGTGTGGTTCTATCGAACGCAAGGCTGACTTGATCTGTTTGCAGCTGGAGCCTACACTGCAGCGTCATTAAATTGTGTCTAGTTATTTATTTTTCTTTTCTTTTTATTATTAATTTATTAAAATTTATATTTTTTTTGGTTTTCTGGCAGTTTGCTTGCCCAGACCCAATCTTAAGTAGTTGGCAGCTGTTGCTCTGTGAGAAGCGCAGAGAAGGGTTCCTTAAGGCACTTGCACTTGCACTCGAACAGCTCCCCTGCTGCTTGACCATAAACCACTTTTCAGTTCCTCGCTTCTTCTTCTTCTTCTTCTTCCTCGTGCTCGTCAGCAGTTGACATAAGTTGCCAAACTCTGTGCGACTGTGTGTGGGTGTGTGTGTGTTGACATTGTTTAGGGTATGGCATGGTAGAGGGCCTGCTCATTCGTCTGTATTTTGCAATTTTCGCTACTCATATGACCGTGTGTCCGTGTGTGTGTGTGTGTGTGTGTGTGTGTATGTGTGTATGTGGACGGTTCTCAAAGCTTTAACGTTAACGCTTGAAAGCTTCTACATCTTACCCTTGTCGCTTCGTTTTGCACAAAATAATTTTCAATGTGTCTCAGGATACCCTTGCTGCAGGTCCGAAGAACACAAGCTCAACAGAATATATTTTTATATTCCTGGCTGTATATGATATATATATGCCAACAGTTGGAGCACTATTTCAATTACCAAAAACTTATTTTTCGAACTGCATTTAGCCTCTCTCTGTCCCCTCATGTAGATCGAATCACTCTGTCGTGGAAGGAAGATGTTTTAATTTAACCAGTTCAGTTCTGTTTAAGGCTCATTTTCGAGTTTTTTAAAATTGAATTTAGTTGTTTTTTTTTTTAAATTTATCTTCAGCAAGGGTATTCAATATGCGGCATGCCGTATACGGGCTTTTTTCTTTATAAATATTTTT